TAGATAGATAGATAGATAGATAGATAGATAGATAGATAGATAGATAGATAGATAGATAGATAGATAGATAGACAAGATTAGCCAACAATAGCGGGAAACCAGCCATCAAGGTCGATCTTGGGAAGGGGTCGCCCGCATCTTCCGCGAGGCAAGGGGACGCTTTGCGTGGGTTCCCAAAGCCTGGTTCCCACGCTCCTCCTGCGCCCCCCGTAGAAGCCGCGCCTGCCCTCTCCGCGCTCCCTCTTTGCGAGCAAGGACCGGCGCGCTCCAGCCAGCCGAAGCGAGCGGGCGGAGCCGGGGAAGGAGGGCGAGGAGGGGCTGGCTCTGCCGGCTTGCAGTTCCTGCTCTAGGCGGGTCCAAGGCGGAGCCGACTTGGAGAGGCGGAGCGCATCCGATCGTCCGGCGTCGCCATGCCCAAGGTGGTCTCTCGTTCCGTGGTCTGTTCCGACACGCGCGACCGGGAGGAATACGACGATGGCGAGAAGCCACTGCACGTCTATTACTGCCTCTGCGGACAGATGGTGCTGGTCCTGGGTGAGCCAAGCAAGGGACCCCGGCCCCATCCCCATCCCCGCCTCTCCTCCCTTCCCCTCGGCCAGGGAGCAAAGCGGTCCCCCCGGAGCCGCTCCAAACCTTGGCCATTACGCACCAGCTGTTGGAACCGAGTCGGTTCCGGAGTTCCGCGCCGTTGGGGCGCGAGGGTGAGGCTGATGGGAATTGAAATCCAGAAGTCTGCTGGGGGATGATGGGAGTTGCAGTCCTCGGGGGAAGGGGGTTTCCCCAAGGGCAGCAAATAACAGCCAGCCTCCTTAGCTGATTTGGGGATGATCATGGGGGTCGTTTAAACCTAATGCCCAGAGTCACTTTGGATGGTGAGATGAGTGGCTTATAAATTTAATAAAATAAATAATTTAACTTAACCATCCTGATATTGGAGAGTTTGGAAAGAGAGACGTGAATGGGAGCTGTCCAATGTTTCATTCATACCGCTTTGTATTAATATCTCCCCCTTCTTATGAATGAGCTCTGTAGTCAACAAATCCTGTGAAAGTTCAAAAAAGGTGGTCAAATATTGTTCATATACACTGCTGTAAGAAAACTATAATTAAGATCTGTTTGATGGCTTCCATGTTAGAAGGCGATTCGTGGTATCAAATGTTTACCGGTTCAATGTTTTCTATCAAAATTTGACTGATAACTGAAAAACAGGATTGGAATATTGGTTTGATGTTGGGGTGGAGGTTGATTGCTTTAGTTTTCTAAGGACCTCCTACAGCATTGATCACCAGAGTTTAGATTTATTTTCCCTGAAGATTTTTTTAAAACATTATTATGATGATGATTTTTCCTAGATTGCCAACTTGAGAAGCTGCCCATGAGACCTCGGGATCGGGCCAGAGTTATCGATGCTGTCAAACATGCCCACAAATTCTGTAACACGGAAGAAGAGGAAAATGTTTACCTGCGCAGGTAGGAAGGATACACAAAACCCCATTGCCAGAGTATAGTCAGCCAGGCAACCATGGCCAAAATCAAAGATGTACAATTTCGGAAACAACGCTTTGCTTTTGATATTATTCAACTTACGAGTTATTGATGAATTATGCAACTTATGGGTCTCTTATCTTTCATCTGAAATATTGGAAGGAGTGTCCTCATCTTCATTGTCTGTTATGGTAGAGGAAGGTATAATATTAAAATGGCTGAAACATTTGTTTAACTGATGGTTTCTTTCTTCATTAAAATGTAATTTTAATGATATTTTTAGAAGGAGCCACTAGTGGAAAAATAAGTTAGTGTGGGAAAACATATGGGTTAAAACAATAAGTTTATCACCCAGGGTTTATGGCTTCTCAGACTATGTAATCCCAACCAAAAATGACTTCCTTTTTTTTGCAACAAACTGAGATGAAGCAAAGTACAGTGTATTTTCCTATTTTTCTTCCCTACCTAGGCCAGAAGGCATTGAACGGCAATACAGGAAAAAATGTGGAAAGTAAGTGATTTTAAAGGAAGTATTGAGAAGATAAGACAGTCAACAAATCTTGTTTCCAGTGATAAAAGAATATATAGCCTGTGGGAGCCATTGTGATCTGGTGCATTAATGCAGCCAACTATTTCTCCAAAGTAAAAAATAAATAAAAATAAGGGGTTCTAAATCCAGTGTGATGTAATGGTTAAGATGTCATCCTAATGCAAAATTCTTTGCATCCCCAGTGTCTTCTCTTACAAACTGAACTACTGGCTGTTGGGGGTTGGGCTCCAACGTAGGCCCAGATTAGTGAAGGGTGAAATGATTTCAACTTATGTATAAACTTATAGATTTAACTCCTGAGGCTTAACCTAGCAAGTGAAGTGAGCTAAGATATTAAATTCCGGGAGACTTTGCTTGTTTATTGGAGGTAGGAAATAAAACAAGTGGTCACTTCCTTTCCAGGTGTGGCCTACTCCTTTTCTATCAGCACCAGCAGAAAAATGCCCCTGTGACGTTCATTGTTGATGGTGCCGTGGTCAAATTTGGACAAGGCTTTGGGAAGACTAACATCTACACCCAGAAGCAGGAACCTCCCAAGAAGGTAGAAAGACAGAGACTTCTCTTGCAGTGTGTGGAAAAGAGTTCGGGTAGAGAGGATGCCTTAAGCTGCCAACTGTTATGGAGTTCCAACATGTCTTCTGATTGGACTTTTGAGTTCCTTGATGGCATCTGCTTGACCTGATCTCACAAGGCGCTTTTTACTCCAGGAAGTCTTTGGTTGGGAGAGCAAGAGATTGAGTCTCTTCCTTTGTAAATTGGTTATCCAGTTGACTTGCTCCATCGGAAGATGCATCCTTCAATTCAATTTCCTTTTCACAGGCCCAAAAGCATAACTCTCATCAGCCTCAGTTGACCTGATTCACCTTAGGCATCAAATCTTAAAAAAAAAAAACCCTCTAGTTTTGGGGGTTGAAAGTCACAAATTAGCAGAATGATAAATCTTGAGATCTTGGAAATAAGTGGGTACCCCTATTTTTTTTCTGGCTTTCCTGATTTTATACTAAAAAAAAAATGGAATTCATTTTAAATCTGCTAAATATCTTTAGCTTCCTAAAGGAATCTGGGACACAGGTGCCCCACCTCATTTAATGGTACAACTCTTAAGGAATTCCATAAGTTGTAAAAAAAAGTGGGGGTGCACATCTGTACACAGCTGTTGATCTGCAAGTTACGTTCCCTGTTCTGAGACCCCAAAACATGAAGTATTGGACAGATCTGACTTTCGTTTCTTAGTATTAATTTCAGAACTGCATGTTTCACATCTGTGAAGAACACTGTAGTCATCTTTCACATTTGCTAATCCCCAAGCTTCGACCACACATAATCTTTTTTTAAAAAACCTTCTCTCCTTCCAAGGTGATGATGACCAAACGGACCAAAGACATGGGCAAGTTCAGCTCAGTGACGGTCTCCACCATTGATGAAGAAGAAGAAGAGATTGAAGCGGTAAGGTTTTCCGTATCTATCAGGAGCAAGCAGCCATAGTTTCTCGAGTATACCAAAAAAGGCAGTCATCCACGGGTGGGATTCAGCCGGGTTGGGCCGGTTCATGCGAACCGGATGTTAAATTGACATCCGGTTCGCTGAACCAGTAGTTGAACTGAATGGCTGGCCCCGCCTTCCCTGCCCCTCCCCTCCCAGGTGTCTCCACGCAGTCCATTTTGGATGCAGGTAAGTGCAGGGTCTATGCGGAGGCTCTGGGAGAGGGAAAAGCAGGCCTTCCGGAAGTCTGGAAATGGGCCTGCTTCGTGGATCTTGGGGGAGCTTAAGCTTTTTGCTGCTTACAGTTATGCAAGGACTCCCAAGCTAGGTCCTCGCTTGACGCCTCCTTCCAGCCTAGCTGGCAGTTTCCCATCATCTTTCTTTGAAGACAACAGGAG